TCGCATAAGATGTTATTCGTTTGTCTTTTGCATATTTTATCGCATAAGTAATTCGCACTTGTTCAATGAACTTTGCATGTACGTGTTTCGCACTTTACTCAATGAATTTCACTTGTGTGTCGTATATCATATCGTATAAATATTCAACATTTTATAAATTATCTTCAACTTTATGTCTTTTCTGTCGCATAGTTTATACAATAATATTTTACACTTTATTAATTATTTCAACTTGACTGTCGCATAGTTATCACATAATCTTATCGAATTTATAAAGTATCAATGTTTGTCTGTCGCATAGATTATTGCATTTATTATTTTGCACTGCGTCAACCAACTTAGCATGTTTGCCGCATAACTATTTCGAGTTTTATCGATTATCTTCATATGTTTGTCGATATTGTCTCGCATAAATATTTAGTATGAATTATTTTTGCATGTTTGTGGCATGTTTTTTTACATTATGATTTCGCACTTTATCAATTATCTTCGCATGTTTGTCGCATAACTTTTCGCATCAATTATCTTTGTCTGTCTTTCGCATAATTGTTTCGCACTTGATCAATTATGTTCTCTTGTTTGTCGCATAGTTTATCGTATATTTTTTCCACACTTTATCAATTATCTTATGTTTGTCGCCATTCTTCACATCAATTATCTTCGTATGTATGTCGCATAATTGTTTCGCACTTTATCAGTTATGTTCGGTGGCATACTTAATTGCATAACGATTTCGCACTTAATCAATTATCTTTTGTGTGTCTTATAGTGTATGCATAATGGTTTCACACTTTATCAATTATTTTCAGTGTGTCGCATAACTCATCGCATAATTACTTCGCACTCTATTAATATGTTCGACCTCTGTCGCATAGTCTATTGCATAGCTATTTCGCATTTTATGATCAAATGTCTTCATCTGTAATTCGTATAGCGTATTGCATAATTGTTTTACATTTTATCAATTATCTTCGTTTGTCTGTCGCATATCTTATCGTATAATTTATGTCGTAATTTATGGGCTGAGAAGGTTAACTTATTATTTAGCAGTGTGTAAGTTTATTTCGTCTTCGGTGTGAAAATAGTTATTTTTTTTATAAATTATTATATTATTTTTCATGTCTCATGTCATGTGCGTTGCACATGCCTAAACACCCGTATGTAAATAAAGATAGAGTATTCCATAATAATATTCCCGTTCATTATCTAGTTATCATAAGAGAAAATGTTGAAAATATTTCTCTTCAATATTTTGCAGTTTAATTTATTTTTTATGTGTGTTTATCATTTTTATGACTAGCATTTTGACTCATTGTGGGGTGTATTCATTTAAAATTCAAGTGACATCTTAGGAGTTCTTAAGATTTAAAACTTTTTAAAATTTTCATATTTTGAAGGAATTACGTGAAATCTTAAAAGTCTAGAGGTGAGATTTGAAGTGAGATTTAAAAAGTTTTTTATTAAAAATCTCACCAAATCTTTTAAAAAGTCTTACCAAATTATGCTCTAAAATAAAGTTAAATATATCATGATTTTTGTAAGATTAGAGAATTGGGGCAAGAGAGTGCGGTCCCACCAGATTAAGCGCACCATAAGAGGGTGAGCCTAGATGCACCTTAGTGGGGTTCCATCCCAAAACCAATTGGTGATGAGAGGAGTAGCCCAATAGGCTTATATACTAGACTCATTTTCCCTGGGTAGAGATAGAAACCCAGGCAGGAGTCGACCTGGCTCTGATACCATGTAAGATTAGAGAATTGGGGCAAGAGAGTGCGGTCCCACCAGATTAAGCGCACCATAAGAGGGTGAGCCTAGATGCACCTTAGTGGGGTTCCATCCCAAAACCAATTGGTGATGGGAGGAGTAGCCCAATAGGCTTATATACTAGACTCATTTTCCCTATAGATTCAATGTGGGACAACTCACAAGTGATACTCCAACAATTTTGTAAGACGTTTTAAAATCCAAATTAAATATCTCAAGACTTTTAAAATTCTTAATAAATCCAAATTGATACACCAGAATTTTGTAAAGCCTATTTAAAAATCCCAGTTGAATGTATCCACAGTTGAAATTGTACTGTTATAAACTTATATTACTCGACTTTGACCCACATTTTAGATTTAATCGAAATTCATTATCAATATAATTAATAATTTGAATTACTCAATTGTTACTATTTAATAATTTCTAATAAAATATTATAATACATTTTTATAGATATAAGAAATACTTAATTTTTCCAAACAACTCATTTGTTGTTAGTTATAACGCCACCCCCACTAGGGTTCACTACAAGAAAATGATGAAATTTCAACGGAAATCTATTCCAAAAAAATTATTCCAACGGCAATTCCAACGAATGTTTCAATATTATTATTTCCGTTGAAATTTCTCAATGGATTCCAACGGAAATTCCAACAAAAATATTCTGTTGGAATGAATTTTCCATTGGAATTTTCATTGGATTTTGACGATTCGAACGGTGGATTTTCCAACGGGGATAAAAATAAAAATTTCAACGGAATTTGCATATTCCAACGGAAATTCCTACGGTAAAAATCCGTTGGTAATATGGCCGTTGGAATCATCAAATTCCATCTAAAATTCTAATGAAAAACAAATTCCAACGGAATATTTCCGTTAGAATTTCCGTTGGAACCATTCCAACGGAAGCTTTACCATTGGAATATCCGTTGGAATTTTCATTGGAATATATTACCATAAAATTTTCCGTTGGAATATAACAATTATTTTGTAGTGGTTGTAAACGTATCGAATCAAAGTGAATATTAAGATATTCGATTCGAATTCGTTAAAATATTCGAGGATTTGAATTCGTATTCGATTCGAAAACAAACCCTTTTTCTGATTCGTATTCGATTCTTGTAAAATATTCGAACATATTCGATTCGATTCGAAATTCGTTTTCAGAAAAATTTTATAATTAAAAAATTATAATTACAGAAATATTGTTTATGTTTTTCCTATCTAATTTGAGATAGAGCAAATTATTAATTTGAGATGCTTTCACTTTTTATGTCATAAAAATATTAAGAATATAGCAATATATATTATAAATAAAAACTTATATGTTATATAATTTTTTAAATTTATATAATTATCCTTAACGAATCGAATATCGAGTTTCGAATAGAATAATTACAAATTTGAATTTGTTTACCTTTCGAATATAAAACATTATTCGTATTCGAATTCGAATACGCACACACCAAGACGGTAGTTTTGTTTACTTTGGAATTAGTGTATACATTTAGTTAACTTAATTATTTATGGAAAGGTACCTCAAACAGGTTAATTGCATGTGAAATGTTTTGGAAAGAATGAGAACAAACATAACATAAAAATAATGGCTAAATCCATGTGAAAATTTGTATAAACAATTTGTGGTTTGTTTCTTAATTGAGATGCATCAGCTTTCTGATTTAAATTCCAGCTGTGCCACGAGTGATCTCTCTCTCTCTCTCTCTCTCTCTCTCTCTCTCTCTCTCTCTCTCTCTATATATATATATATATATATATAAAATTGACTTTATTTTCTCATATTGTAGGAGCTCTAATCAAACAGAATATACACATAAGTAGTAAAATAAGAAATAAGTAAGTGAAATGAATAAGAATATAGTATAGCCGTTCGATTGATATATCAATATTTTAGATCTTGTCAATCTACCACTGGTCACATGTGCAGTGAAATTATCATAATATTGTGCAATTTTGATTTTATTTTTTTTTTTTATTTTTTTTTTTATTTTTTTTTTATCAAAACGATAGGCATCTCATAAAATAAAAGGAAATACAATGTCCAAGATAAAAACTACAATCGCATGAAATGGGAGACCTCACAAACGAGGTTTACAAGCCAATAACTAGCATACGCAGCACAAGGCTGAGGCCCTATCCTAGTGAAACAAATACACCATAAATCAGATGATAAACTGCCAACACAAGCCTAAATCATCTAACTGAACCGAACAAAACTAAATGACTGAGAATTCCTGCCATTCCCTGACAGCTTGTCGAACCAGACAAAGCTCAGGGATCTTCTCCTTCTGAAAAATCCAAAGGTTGCGGCTTTTCCACAACCACCATAGCAAGTACGTAGTGAGCTGAATCTTGCTTTCATCAATAGCTTTAGAACTTAAGGAGCACATAGCCCACCACCAGTCAGAGAATGAAACATTTGGAAGAGAAAGGCAATCCCAGCTAATAGGAGCTAAATCCAATACCCTTTGAGCCTTGCAGCAGCTCCAAAAAACATGTGTTATGGACTCTGCATCCTCCCTACAAACAGAGCAGATAGGATCAACATCAAGGCGTCTACTTCACAGCTTGGTACATACTGGCAAAGTCCCTGTAATACACTTCCAGATAAAGTGTTTGATTTTCCCTTTAACTTTCAACTTCCGAGTCCTATCTCTGATCTTCATATCTCTAAAGCTGGAGGAGCTACTCTCAGGTCTGTCCAGTACAGAAATTTTGTCCTTGATGAGAGTGGAGTAAGCTGTAGAGACAGAGAATTTCCTTTTTTTATCTCCAAGCCAAATCCAATCATCTTCCATGTGAGGCTGAAGGATGATGATGTTGAGAATGACCTCAGTAGTGCTCCTATGGAAAAGCTGATATAGAAGGTCAGTATTCCAGCTTGTCCCATCACTAA